GATGTCAGCTATGGTCTCTTCAGGGTATATTCCCAGTAGTGGAATTGCTGGGTCAAATGGTATCTCTATTTGCAACTTTTTAAAAATGTGCTTGGCAAGCAAATTTTTATTAGAAGTGGTTTTTGTTAATTTTTATGTTATAAAAGTAAAAGTGATTATTATGCAAAGTATCTATCAAATAATTACATAGAAATACAAGCATAAGATAAGATTTTTCTGATTGAAACATATATTACAAAATTTTATACTGATAACCAGAACTTATCTTTCAAAACTACATTTAACTTCTGGAAAAAATGTATAGATGGGAGGTCTGCTGGACTAGTGGTAAGAAATTGAACTAAAATCCTGAAAGCATGTTATTCAAATCCACCAGCTGTTCCCTGAAATAAGTGTGGACAATTTCCTCTTCGCCAATTAACTGCCTCTGAAAACCTGCTAGAGGATCAGCTTTGAGATGATTCTGACTCAATACCATAGAATAACAACAACGACAATAAAGACATACACACCATTGATATTGTGTACTATAAAGTCAGAACTGACCCATAGCTGACCCTCCAGCAAGTTTTCAAAGGCAGTTAATTATAAGAGAGGAGATTGTTCATCCTTCTCCTTCAGAGTAACTGGTGGCCTTGAACCACGTTCTTTCAAGATTACAGTGTAGCTTCCTGCCATTATGTATATTACAATATATGTATTTTTGGTGTGCTCAAAATTTGAGAAAAATAGTTTATTCCTCTATGAAGAGGATTGTAACATTAAGATTGGAGGGAGGCTCATCAAAAACCCGTGTTATGCAGATGACACAACCCTGCTTGCTTAAAGTGAAGAGCACTTGAAGCACTTGTTGCAGATGATCAAAGAAGCTAGCCTTAGATATGAATTACATCTCTATGTCAAGGTAACAAAGATTCTTACCACTGGACCAATAGGCAGAGTTATGATGGCTGGAGAGGAGATTGAAACTGTCAATGACTTCACCTTTCTTGGACCCACAAGTAACACCCTTGGTTCCAGCAGTCAGGAAATAAGGATACACATTACACTGGGAAATTTGCAGTTAGAGACCTCTCCAAATTATTGAAAAGTAAATTATGTCAGTTTGAAGATTAAGGTGTGTCTGATTCAGGCCATAGTTTTTCTGATCACTTGCTATTCACCTGAAAGCTGGACAATGACTAGGGATAACAGAAAAATAATTGATGCCTTTGAGCTATGGAGTTAGAGAAGAGCCCTGAGCATCCCACAGACGCCCAAAAGAACAGAGATGTCTTGGAGAGAGTGAAGCCAGAGTGCTTTTTAGAGACAAGGAAAATGAGGCTTTGCTTCACATGTTCTGACCATGTTGATAGGAGTGGCTATTCCTTGGAGAAAGACATGATACTAGGAAGGTTAGAGGGTCAGTGAAAGAGAGAAAGACCCTCAATCAGGTGGACTGATACTGTGACTGCCACAACGGACTCTTGTGTGTCAGAAAGTGTGAGGATGGCACAGCATAGAAAGGTTTCAGGTCTTTTCATCATAGGATCACTATGAGAAGTACTCAATTCAACAGCACCTAACAACAAAAACAACAGTTCATTCTGAAATTCTGTATAAAAGGAAAAAGACAGAAAGATAGTATGGGGGAGTAAACTATTCAGTCTGAAGGCCCCAGCTGAACCAAAAATCTCTACATTTTATAAGAAGATTTAGACAAGTTATAGTTATAGTATTTACATTTACATCAAGGTAGATGTAAGAGGATGTGCTCTTATTTATATTTCCTGGATTCCTTGAGACTGTTGATATGGACAACAAATTCATATCTACATTTTATCAGAAACATAGGTTTACAGAGATAAAAAAAAAGAAAATACATAAAGAGTAATACTGAGGAGAAACTGGAGGTCTGTAGAAAAAGCTGCACTGTAATCCTGAAGGTAGGCTGTTTGGATCCACTAAGTGCTCTATGGGAGAAAGATGAAGAATCTCTTCCTCATGATTAACTTCTCTGAAAATCTCCTGAACTCAATGGTGTCCAACAATGAGAAACCAGTTAAACTCCTTGGGTCCCTATTAGTGAGGTAAATATACATGTTTTTTACCCCAAATTCCACATCTAAGAATGTATTCACCAGAAACAATATACTCATATTTGTGTGAATTGATGTATATGTAAGATTCTTCAATACAGTGTTGCTTTTACTGTCACATTGTAAATAACCTTATAGCCATTAACGATGACATGTTTATATAAAATAAAATATGATGTAAGGACATGAGATGCAGTAGACTCTCCTTGATAGAATGGATTAAAAATATATTAAAAAAACCCCTCAAAGATATAAAATTGACCAAGCTAAAAGAAAATAAAAATGACCCGGCTTATTCATCTAATATAAGAGTATGATTCCACAGATAATGGTCCTTATTCATTTTTTAACTTGGAATAAGACTTAACTCTGTGGTAAACTTTCAAGCAAATAGTAAAGAGGCTCAAGTTGCCAAAATGGAAAGAAACAATAGGAACAGAGACCCTATGTACAAGCTTTGAACCCTGCTTTATCCTGTGCCAATCATATTGTCTCGGACACATCTACCTGTATTACCTCAGTCACTGAGTCAAACCGTCTCATTGAGGATCTTCCTCTCTTGCACTGTCCCTCCAACTCCCAAGCATGGCATTCCTCTCCAAGGACTGGTCTCTTCTTGCAACATATCCAAAGTATGTCAGACGAAGCTTCAGAATCCTTGCCTCCAAGGAGCAGCCTGGTTTCACCCTCTCCAAGACTAACTTGTTTGTTCTCTTAGCAGTCCATGGTATATTCAATAATCATCTCTAGTATTACAGGTCAACAACATCAGTTCTCCTGCTATCACCCCAGTAATTTTCCAGTTCTCTGATGCATAACAAGTCATTGCAAAGATCGTGTGGATACAAATATCACAAGATGGAAGAAGAAAATGATTATATTGTTATATTATAATTATATTGTTGTAATTAGCATAATTTATAAAACAAAATGTATATTAATGGTTGAATGGAAAACCAATTCACTTCTTTAACTTAGACCACATTTAAAAGAAAATAAGCAGACAAACAAAAACAGAACCCAACATATATTTCCCCCCCGGGGAAAGTTGAAGTATGAGGCCAGAAGGTAGAAATAAAGTATTTCCATACACCCACATATACACCAGTAATACTATCTAGTCTATTTCACCTTTAAAGAGGCAGTAGGTAAATGTACTTATTGAGAATATGTTCATTATTTTTCTCTGAATTGTGGTCTAAAAATATTATTTAGAAACATAAATTATACAGCCTCACGCCTTGAGATCCAACTCATAACTAACTTCTCATTGGGTTTTTGAGGCTGAAAATCACATTGGAAGTGATTGCCCATCTTTCTCCTGTGGAACTGCTAGAGGGTTACAATTACTAGAAGGTTAAGGCCTTTGGTATAGCAGGACAACTCTTTATTGAATACAGCACCAGTAGTTCATAAAATTCAGGCATATATATTCTACAAGCAGATTAAAATAAAAGAACTTAGCATAATTGCCCTGTGAGGAAAAGTTTTTAAATTATAACCAAAGAAGACAGTATCTGTGTAATGAACATATTTTTAAGGTTCTACTGTGCTAGTTTGCCTTATATTCTCCAGAAGAAAATAAAGAACTTGGATTATTTTAATTACCTAAGGTAAAGTTTGTTGTTGTTGCTATGAACTATCAAGTCAGAACTGGCTCGTAGCTGATTTTCCAGCACATGTTCAGAGGATTTAAATTGCATGGGAGGAGATTGC